ATACCCTAAACTCTAAAGTTTAGGGTATGTTATGTTAGGGCCTAAGCCTATCAGCTTCTGATGACAAATTCAATTCTGAATTCAAAACAATACCTATTATGATTTTGTGAATACTGTTTGTCTGTACGACTGTACAGTAGATACAGCAACTACTTCATTCAACACAACAATAATTCTCTGACCATACATTTTGTTTTTTGTATTACAGACTTGAAATATTTCCTGATCACAGGCATATCTTACAATTTACAGCCACTGAAAAGTTTATTTCAATAGTGGATAATTTTCTTAGTAGTAGTGTATAGGTAACAACAATCAATTTCCATACATTTAAAAGCTATATTATGAATAACATAATTACAAGAAGATATTAAGTGTCAAGACCTATACGTAAGTAATATTATAAGTTATAATACAACAAGTTAACGGTGAAATTGCTTTGACTACTATGAAAATCTACACAGATTTGTTAAATCCCAACAAAACAATAATAATAAGCCATAATTAATTGATAAATAACATTTTATTATCATTTGGAATGTAATAGTTATATTTTAATTAAGAGATCACAAAATAAATATAGCATACTATAAAATATAAGTATGCAATAAATTATATATTACATAAAAATGTGTTTGGTTTTAAAGCATTAGTATATTGTTGACACTTATTCAAAATTGAATTCATATTGCTTGAATTACATTTATTAAGGACTAAGTAAAACAATTAAAAGATAGTTTTAACTTGATCATATGTTTAGAAAACCTTAAATGTATACAAATATATGTATATTAAACTCAATAATGTGTAAAAAATTTTAAATGTTTTGTTAAATATATTCCATAATATTTATATTTTATTAATAACAGTGAACGTCATTTTTATTTTTTATCACAGATATAAAAAAAATTGTGATTTATATTTATCAAATTATGATGGGACTCATAACAATTAAAAATTCTATTAGGTAACTTAAATAATGTATAATAATGCTTATAAGTTATACTCATAGAACACTGTGATATTTGAGTTCAAATAGGTTTGAAATGAATATAAAAACTTGTTGTTTTAAAGTGCAACTTCACATCCAAAAATGTGAGAAATGTGACCACACAATGTGTTGTAAAAACATTATTAATATGTTATTTATCTTAGTTTAATTATTAATTATTTCATATATTTTAATTGTATGCTTAATGGTATTATTTATTACCAACATTCAAGCCATATGAAATAAAAAATTTAACATAAAAAGGTTCTCTCGGTTCTACTAAACTCCGCCATTATATGCATATTCAGCTTTATTGTGCATTATGAGTCGATCTTCAACAAAATAGAAACTGTCAGATTTAGTTTCAAATGGATTTTGGATCATTTCCTTAACTGCAAATGTAAAAGGTAAAATAATTTAAAAATCAAGAACTGAATATTTATTRATAATTAATAYACATACTCAATTCAGGATCCAAATTAGGAAATTTGTATATGTGTTCACATGTATTTTTGCTGTGTGGAATGCAAAAACCAAATTCAAAGTCAAACGTCTTTAATAATTTGTTGCGGAAATAATGACGTTCAATCATTCGAAACTTATTAACTGGCTTATTTCCCACAGTAAACTCCACACTATCAATTAAATTTAAATTTAAATAATTAAAATAGTTGATATGATTTATAACCACAGTATTTTAAATAATTTAATTTATATACTCTAACTGAAAGATGAATGATAGAATACAATGAAGCAAAAAAATATTTATTACAATTCTTACGTTGCTCCAACCAATTTTAGTTTAAGAAACTTGGGTGTAAATTGATAGCGTACAAATCGGCCACTATTCAGATCTGTCTCTTCTACTTTTCCTTCTGTTTGATTTTCGTCTGAACATACATGTTAATAATATTAAATCAATACAAATAATATTACAATACATATTATATTGGATTTTTACAATCGTTAATCATACCAAGTATTACAGATGGCTTGGCAATTTCAAACAATACCATKCCTGTATCAAGGTCACGTATTTTAAAACGTATAAAATCTATATTATATATATTTGCATCTGGAGCACATAAATACCCTGTAAAAAAAATATTATATAAATAAATGAACTTATGAAACAAAAAATATTAATATACATTACCATCTGTGATTTTAGACAGAGTCAATACATCGTCTGGTGTTATTATTGATTTATTACATACAGTTTGTTCAGCAGTTTGTTCTACTATAGAGAAAAAAAAAT